CTAGAATGCACCCAATCGGGCGGTCAGGATCCTAGAGTGACCTATAGAATGTATATGCACTGTAAATAATCCTATCACAGGTGTGGGTGTGGGTGTGGGTGTGGGTGTGGTTCACTATGGGAATATAAACAGGCCTCCGGTCCTGTTTTCCTTGTCCCCCCCCCCCCCCCTCCTTTCCCCCCCCCCCCCGAGCTGAAATAAACTATGAGCTGTTTCACTTATCAACACGTCTGGACTCAGTACATTATAGCAGCCAAACCTGAATAAAGCCTGACCTTTGCTGGTACAACATTCTCCTTGAAACATGCCTAAGGTCATTTGCTAATCTGCTTCTTGTTCTTCTAGACCTCAATCCTTGCCTGCTAGACTAAGGACTAAGGACTTGCCCCAAACCTGAGATAGAACCAGACTAGCAGGAGTCTGCTTGTGGTCCCAGAGGTGATATTGGGTGTGCTCCTGATAATTTTCTTTCCACTATTTTAACTTAAAATGTTGCCACAGTAAATGATGAATAACTTTCTAGTCAAGTTCTGCCATCTCCCTCAACTGTTAATTCACGCTCAGAAATACTATCTGGGGCACTATTATTGTATTATTGTATTTTCAAATCAGTGCCAGTCTAATGTCAATTTTGGGATATATCATTGCTAGAGGTTCTACACAGCATGTTTCTGGCCAAAATATATACTACAATATACTATCATCACTTTTGTTTTTTTAATATAACTTAAAATATTCACCTAAGTTTTAGGTACTCTTATTTGTTAAGGTTTGCTCTTAGTAAAAGATAGTATAGAAATACCAGTTGTTACTGTTGGTAAAAACTCTTTCTTTTTATAGTAGTTAATTCATTTCTGATTGTGAAGAGTCAACTCTCCCTAATTATTAAACATAAATCACAGATGTCAAGCTAATGTTAATTTCACTATCATGCTTAAACCAGAATGTACTTCAAATATGTAAAGGGGGAAAAATTACATTCCAAGGATTGGAAAATATCTGATTTTGTTTCAATGTTATTTCCCTTCAGCCTTCAAGATACAATCCTAAGCCTATTTAATAAGAAATAAATTCCGCTGCACTTGGTGGTATTTAATTGCATTGCAAGTAAGTATATTTGGGATCATATACAGATGATTCAGCCACTTCTCCTTCAGGTTGCATATGAATCATCCTTATGCAAAATCTATATGAATAATATACATTGTGTACATATATTTGTATATCATACTTAACTCAGAAAGGGAAACTGCCGGAACATACTATAAACACAAGATGGAAAAATGCCAGAGAAACTGCATGAATTCCTTAAGCCTGTTTTCACTGTGGAAGAAGTGGGCCACATACCTACACCAGAACTGTTGCTTCTGGGAAGAGCACCTGAACAACTGACACAAATTGAAGTAATGAAACATGAAGTTCTAGGATTACTGAGCAAATTAAATATGACACCAATTTGGGGTCTGGAAGGTGTATACCCAAGGATTCTTTAAATAGTAATCCTAAAAAGAAGTTATACCCTTCTAAAAAAAAATAAAAATCTTTCCATGAGTATTAAAATGTGGACAGGTTTTTGAGGGAGGAGGGAGGGAGAAAAGGGAAATCATTTGTTTTTGCCCCTAATCACAACTGTAATCCTTAGACTCCATGGCTAAAACCTTGATAACAGATTCTTCTTGGAAAATAATCCTGTGTCTTGCAACTTTTCTCCATACACTTTGCTGGAACCAAGTCTACTTCGTGAGTTTACTTTTCAGGCATTTTTTTAAAAAAACAATTCTGTTTTTCATATGTGTTTCTGTGGCTAGGCATTTGTGTAAATCTCTTCACAGTTCCACTCACACAGCCGGCAAACTGAAGTCAAAGGAAATGCATCTTTCAAATATCTAGAATGGGCGTCTTTGCAAAGGCTGTTTGAAATGTGTTATGACTATGTGGACTCCTCCTATCAAGTTATCAAGTTACACTGAATACATGGACTTTATGTCTTATCTTCAAAGGAGAAAATATTGTATCTTATGCCTTAATATAGTTACAGTATGCATAAATGTTGTTGTGACACCACCAACTTTATAATTGTTTAAATATATTGTTTTGGCAATTTTTGATAGTGTTTTCTACTAGTGGAATTTGTATATTTGGGATTCCTGTGACACTAGTCTTTTTCCCTTGTTGTTTGGGTTAGAAGGGGATTAGGCAGATTCATTGAGGATAGATCCATTAACAGCTATTAGACATGATGATTAAAGGGAATCTCCATATGTATAGGCAGCAAATTTCTGAATACAAGTGATAAAACCTCTGAATACCAGTGCTAAAAGCCAACATCAGGGTAAGGCCTTGGCCTTAGTGCCCCATTTGTTGGCCATCGAGGGTAGTTGGTTGGCCACCCTGAAACAGGAAGCTGGACTAGATGACCACAAGCCTGATCTAGCATGTTCTTAAATATTGGTTGTACAACAGTTTCTTACCGGTACAGTCAGTGCAGTAATAGCTGGGGTGTTAAACGTTGGGTCAGTCTGTCTCTCTTGATAGACAACTCGATATTGAGAAATACCACCATTAGAAGAAGTTGGGCTGGTCCAATTTAGGAGTACTGAGTAAGCACTAACAGCTTGAGCCCAGGGAGCTTTCATGCCCCAAGGTGGAGCTTCAAGAGTCTGTGCTGAAGACCAGAGGCTATCCACAGACCCCTTGGAATTCTGAGCCCTGATGCGATATTCATACTCTGTGAATGGTTGAAGTATGTCAGTAGCATCAATAAATTCCAAAGCACCTTCAGACCAAATGAAGATAAGCAGTTCCTCTTGAGTGCCCACAGAATGCCTGAAAAGTCACACAAAAAAAGTGTATGTAGCAGAATGGTATTTTACAATACTAAACAGATGTGATACTGAAGTACAAATGTTAAAATAACTGTAGCTTCATACAGTAATTGCTCTTTGTCTCCCTGTCAGCCTATCTATAATAATGAAAATAAAAAGAAAGAAATGGTAAATACAGGTTTCTTTGAAAGGAAAGAATAGTGAACTTTCTTTAAAAGATTATGAAAAGCCCTGAATGGCTAAGTGATAATCATTTTTCAGTTTTTCAATTTAACTCAGGTCTCATAAAGGTTAAAGTTTAAAATAAGATCTAATAGTATCAGCTATCCATACAGACGTGGTAAAATACTTGATTGCAGTTTTAAAAAAGCATGGAGATCTTAAACATTGAATAAAGTAAGGTAATATTTCAAAGGTATTCTTTAGATTCTACACCAAAAGACTTTGTACTGCACTGAAGGTATAACCCAGTGGCAATCTCCCCCTTAGCACTGGTATCTGCCAGAGACACATTCCCCCCAATAATACGTGACATCTGTACCTTTAAAGAAAATAATGCTGACCTTGCAAGACTATGTTATTAGTTCTTGGTGGCCAGTTTGGAGGTTGCTAGGGAAGCTCAGAGAACATTGCCAAGGCTTCCATGTCTCAGTGTCAGCTGAGTGTGCCTTTGTGTGTGGGGGAGACAAAGAAAGATGCAAGGGAGAAATAAAGAAGCACACAAAAAGGGAATGGGGAGGGAAGAAAATAAATCTGAAGGGCTGAGGAGCAGAAAATGTAGGCTGGTGAGTGGGAAGGTAGAAAAGGGGCGAGGTTGTTGGAGCTGTCACTGGTAGGGAAGGAAGGAAAGCCGAAGAAAGGTCTGAGAAGACAGATAAAAGTCACAGGAAGAGAGCTGCTCAAGGGAGGTAGGGAGGAAGGCAGGCAGGCAAGCAGGCAGGCTGGCTGAAGACTGGGGGAGGGAGTGGGAGACAGATAAAGGTTGTGGGAGAGAAGAGAAGGGGAAAGGCTGCTGGAGCTCTCATGGGGAGGGAAAGCTGAACACTTAAGGTGAAGGGAAGAAATGGAAAGAAACTGTGGGGTTTTCTAGAGGCAGGGAAAAGAGGAAATAGTGTGGAGGGGAATACAAGAAGGAAGGAGACCCCCATACCCAGGGCCTCTTCTTTTCTTGTTCTGTTAACTAAGCTTTTGATTCTTCACTTTGGTTGAAGATGCAGATACATGGAGCAGTGGCAACAGGGGAGATCTCACAAGCCTACAGTTGCTCATATGAAAACCTGAAAACTTAACAAACCACACTGGAAAGAGTTGCAAAATTCCTATAATAAGCATAAAAATGGGGTTGCCAGCCCCCAGGTCTGTGCGGGGTTTTCCCCACCTCTGTGGGCTTCAATCCACCCCTGTCCAAGAGTGACCACCCACCCACCTCTCTCCCTCCCCTCCTGCCAGATTCAAAGAGCTTCAGTTGATCAGTGGGGACCACATGGCCTGCCAACCAGCTAGAGGGTCCTTTAAATCTAGCAGGAGGGAGAGGGGTGGCCTAGCGGGTGGTCACTCTTGGGGGTGGGGCTTGAGTGGGGTTTTCTGCAAGCGAGGTGAGGGTGCGGCATGCGGGGCTGATTTCCTGAGAGGAACTGGCAACCTTACATAAGGCTAGTATATGGGAAAATGTGGGATTAAGAAATGGATGCAAGTACTTCCCTTTCTTTTAACAAAGAACTGTGTCAGTAACCAAATAAATAAATTAGATTGTCTATCACTTGTTACAGCAAACTGGGTAGAATGGAATCAGGATGCATACTGAGTGAATGCCAAGACTGTTAAGTAGGAATGATGGACAAAGAAAATTTCTTTGATATATGTATAAATATACATTTTTGTTTGTTTCTTGTAAATGACATGCATGATCAGAAAGTGTGTCTCACCTATCTTCTTTGGCTAATTTCCCATTTTCATTTGTTTTGTTTATTGCATTTTTATGCCATTTTATCATTTTACAATATTAATGCACAACTTGTTACAGATGTTCAAAACTATGTCTAACAGCAGTATTTCTATTTTACTTAGTTAATCTGGTTGGGGGAAAGGATGATGCCTCTTCCCCTAATGATTGTCATTATGATTTTTTTTAAAAAAAAATTGTGAGCATCCAAAAGAACTAGCAACATTTTTTTTAATTGGAGACAGTATTTTCAGAGTTTAGAAAATTGCCAGGCAAACTCTCTACTGCTTGCCCAAAAGTATATTGTACACTTGCACTTCCATCTGATTCTTTAGTCTGAAGTATAATGACTTCCCAGTGAGTTAAGAGGGGGAAAAACCCTCAATTGCAGAAAAGTGAAAAATTATGATATTTTAAGTCCAGCAATGCTCTCTTTAATGCTTGCTAGTTTGCTTTGCACTGCACAGCATCTCAATTAGCCACCATAGCTGTTTGTTGAATTCACAAATTAGTGTTTAGTAACGTGGAAAATCTGTGATAAACAATTTCTCTGTGCTGATAGATCAAATATGCCACCAACTGTGAGCTATTCCACAAGTAAAGCTGAACAATATAGTCTGGTTAAAGTGTTTAGATCTTATTACTGCTGAATATTTAATGAAAGGAACTTATGGCTAGGTAAATGGTTCCATGTAGTGCTACAACGAGAGACTATCCTCATGTATGAATAAACTTTGAACAGAAATGGCTGAGCAGTCTCTAATCATTTCAAAAGGCTGAAATTTAGAATTCAGCTGCTCATTTAAGTGGAAGCTTTTCTCCCGCACAGTGAGAAACACAAGAGAAAGATTACATATCTCAGGAACTGGGAACTGCTACTGAATCTACATACGCAGGTTTCACTCTTTTTGTGAGGGTCAAGTAGGCAAGCTTTGTAAGGACAAGCTACATAGGTCACATCATAGCCAGAAATAACCCAAATATTGTAGATGTCTACTCTGAAAACTGAAGAGCTATACCTACGCAAGATGAGGTGTAGTGGTTAAGAGTGGTGGACTCTAATCTGGAGAACCAGGTTTGATTCCCCACTCCTCCACATGAAGCTAGCTGGGTGACCTTGGGTCAGTCAGTTCTCCCAGAGCTCTCTCAACTCCACCTGCCTCACAAGGTGACTGTTGTGGGGAGAGGAAAGGAAGGCGATTGTACTCTAAGACTCCTTCAGGAATTGAAGAGCAGGGTAAAAAACCCCAACTCTTCTTCGTTTGCTCAAAGCTCATATAGTACATAAGTTGTTGATAATGTCTTCTGCACCATGGCTAACACTCCCAGTAAACGAATTGCTTTAAACCAGGTGTTTAAACTGCATTTAATTCCAGCTTTACGCCCCTTATTGACAGTGCCATCCTAAGACTGTCTACTCAAATTCCTACTTGAGTCTTAAGCAAACTCCTAGGAAACTGTTCTTAGGGTTACACCGTTAGTATTTGACAACCTCCACCACTCAGTTCTACAGAAATCAAACATTACAAATGGAAAAAGAAAGCAAATCAAGTAAATATATTTATTTTTGCCTATTTTTAATTTTATTCCAGTAAAGAATTTGGGTTTGCTAAGCAAAGGTTTGGGAGGGACAGGGATGAGGAGTCCTCAGAGAGAATAGCTGATAACTCTAAATCATTCCGTTTTAATGAAAAGCTGCCTTACTCACTTGTGGGTTAAATAAATTTAAGTTGGTGTACAAACAGCAGCAAGGCAATGGCAGCAAGTGATGAAAAGAAATTACATACTATAACATCCTCTAGAAATACTGCAAGCTTGTTTCTATAACAGTGTAGGGCTAGGCATGGGTATTACATGAAGGGGGGAAAAAGAGAACAGCGTGCTAACATCCCATTTCTGTCCCTACAAATTTCTGATTTTTTCACAGCTATCTGAGAATGATGTGATATTGTTGTTGTCTAAGCACATTTAAACTTCAGCTGAAATAACTGCCAAGTGATTCATGCCTATGTAGGTGAATATAACGATTGTATCTGGAGCCCCAGTGCGCCATTTTCATTTCACTTTAAATAAAAAACAAAATGTATCTATGTCAGTCAGTGCCCTTCTGCTGTACTCAGAGGTATCAAACAGGCTACAATTATGATTGTGAAGTGATTGTGTCACATTGGAGGAAGGTTTATTGCTTTCGAGTCTGCTAGGCAGTAACACATTCTGTTTCATATTACTCTTTATATCATTGTTTGGCTGTGACTAGAATAATCAAATGCCATCAAATGCTGTCAAATTCAATTTACCGTATTTTCCACTTTCTGCATTATATTTCCTGTTTTCCCTTTCTATTGCTGCAGTTGAAATTGCAGCTGTAATCATCAGCTTTATTTACAAAACCAGCAGAGTGAAGCCACATCTTGGACCAGTGTTTCTCAAACTGGGGTCTGGGGACTGCAGGGGGTTCATGAGTCCTTTCGTAAGGAGAAAGGGCAAGATGACGCTATCTGGGTAAAATAAAAATGTGACATAGTTTTCTAGGAATTGGGGGGGAGGGATTCTTGGCTTCAGAGGAAGGAGATGGAATCTGCTTCTCTCCCCCCCCCCTTTGAAGAGTGGGAGCTCATAAAGTTGCTGACTCCTGCAGTCACCTAGGTGCCAGATCACCCCACAGCACGATCCCCTCCAAAAAACTCACTGGCAAAGATTCCAATGGTGAAATCTGTCTAAATAGGATTTCATTATCTTCTCTCCTCTATACCCTCACCTTCATTCTTGCCTCTGGTTTCTCAGTCCCTTAGCTCTCCTACCCCTGGGTTTTCTTCCCATAGCCTTCACCCGCATATGGTTCTAATCCCAGCTGAATTGATAACTTTCCCTTTATTCTTTGAACAACTGAAAATCTCAGATTGGGTCAGCCAATCATTATCAGGTCAGTATCATTGCCACAAGTACAATACAATATAGGTGGCTGGGATCCAAAGAAGCCCATGAATGTATCTAAAACACTTTGATTCACATAGGCAATTTTGCTTTTGGATGGAACATTTTGTGCTACGTTCCGTGTCACACAAGAAAGGCACTGAGCTTCATAAGCAGCTTTTGCAGATGGATATAGGACACTTCCATGGGAAGGGAGAGTCCCAGTGCACATACAGAAGCCAACTTGCAGTTCCCTCAGTCCTAGTACATAAACTAATATGCCAAGGCTCTCTCCCCTACTTATTTCAGTAAGGCTGAATGAGAACCAATTGAGAGGCTTCTTTTGCTGTTTTCCTACCACCACAATGAGAGCTCCATGGTCAGGGCTCCATGTGGCTGGGAAAATGTTTAAATACTCTAACCACACAGGTCCTTACCAGTGTTCCCTCTAAGCTGAGTTAGTGTGAGCTAGCTCACAATATTTTAGCCTCCGGCTCACAGATTTTTGTCTTAGCTCAGGAAGGAGGGCTCCAGAGCAAACTGATTTATGCAGTAGCCAAATTGCTTGCTCATAACTTTAATGCCAGTAACTCACAAAGCAGAATTTTTGCTCACAAGACTCCACAGCTTAGAGGGAACATTGGTCCTTACTACTGGTTATACCTTAACAACTTGAGTTCTTTTGGACTGGTCCATCAACACAAGTATCCTGTTTCCTGTGACCACTTAAATATTTCCAGGAAGCCCACAATCACAGTTTCTGTCACAAACCAACCCTCTGCTCACCCCGCCTCCCCAACAATAGGCAACAGTGACCCCTTGCCTATGAACATGGACACGAATGTTTTATTTTGCCAAATTCCTGGAACCTAGTAGCACTGGCAGGAATGTTTCTTATGCTCTCCATGCAAAATACACAATTTTATCTTTTTTAAATTTTGTAACATTAAGCTTGACAAAGTATTCTGGAGAATTCAAAAGCTTGCACAGATTTTTGTGCCAATTTATTTTTGTCCTGTAAAAGTAGTTACATGCATTTTGTTCTTGGTTTTGAATTTTGCTTGGACCAAAATAACTTCACAACTTTTCCCATCTCATGCTATCCAGCCTACCTACATGGGAAGAGGATGTAAACATTCATGGGCCTTAGTACAACTCTCAACTATTTGGCTACAGTTAACTGAAGAAGGAATGTTTGCTTGAACCTGGCAAAAGAAATGATCATGTCATAAGAGCTACCTGTAAACAAAGTAGTTTCTGATTATTCCATTGGATTTCTTAGGTGGCAACCATTTTACTTCAATAGATGTTGATCCAGTGGCTATAACTACAGGTGGACTCAATTCCTTAGGGGGTGCTTCAGCAGTCTGTGCATATGCCCGTTCACCAACTCCACAGCCAACTGGAGTAAAACAAAATATTGTTAAATTAATTGAAATCAACATACATTTCTAATGCAAATTCATTGACACCATAAGGATGGCATGATATCAGAAAAGGTAAACCACAAACACAACTAAGTGAAAACTCTTTTTACATATGTAAAGTATATATTACTGTCTTTTTTTCTGTTTCTTCTCAGATTATGGTCTATGTAGCAATGCACCAATTAATACTCTGATCACTGACATAGTCTTTTAGCATTAAGATGAAAATTGAAGGAGCTAAAAATTACACCCAAGATAGAGCTGAAAAATTCTGGAAAGAACACATTTGGAATAATAGAAAAGGACAAAAGTCTAGTAGCACCTTAAACAATAACAAAATTTGTGGAACGGTATGAGCTTTTGTGAGTCACTGCTCACTTCTTCAGATATTTACATATGGAATAACTAGGGAGCAAAGTCCGTTGTAGATTAAGACAATGGGCCCTAGAAAGGTAGGGTGGGTGGGT